CCGCGTCATAATTGCGACGCATAGGTGATTTTTGTTCACTGGGGGAGCAAGTCCTCGTCGTTGCGTGCCAAAACCTGTTCGACTTTTTCCTTCACCCCAATTCGCCTAAATCCGATTCTTTATCTCAATCCCTCGATAGATTCAAATGCCCAGTATATATACACAAGAATCTAACTCAAAACAACTCTTAAATCGACACGATTCCATCAAGAACTCCACAATCCCATCAAATCTCAAGAACTTAAGCAAACTTCAAGAACATAATTCAAGAACATCATACTTTCAACTTTCTAGAAACGAATTTCATTGAAACAAACATGATTGGCGCGTGGGTGAACTAACCCAACACTATGAAAGTCTCACATACCTCGTAGGGGTCACCCCTTGACGAAATCCTCAAGCGATTCTTGAAGAACTTGACGAATCTTTGCTTCTTCTCCTCTTATTTTCTCTTCTCTCAAAAACCTAACATAGTTTTTAAAAGTGTAAACTGACCAAGTTCAGTTTAGACCCCAATTGAACTCCTAAAAACGAAATAAATTAATTGGGTATGGAAAGGACCATAATACACTCTTAAAATTGGGATTAGACTTTCCTTATTTGAATAGCCCAGCTTCGAATGGGCATATCTCACGCATACGAACTCGGAATCGCGCAAACTCGGCGGCGTTGGAAAGATAATTCCAAGATCTTTCCTACGGTATCTGAAACCACACCTAAATCATCCTGAGATAGGAGTTATGGTTGTTTGAAGTTGACCCAAAACTCAAATTTAACATAACTTAACAAATTTCCAGATTTTTATTCTTTCTAAAAATGACTCTTTCCAATTCTAACTACTTTCTAGTTCTTTCAAATAGCGACATGTTACATTATATATACGCATAAAATAGAGAATTATATCATACATACTACTCCTTTCATATAGAAATGTACATTCAACAGAAAGTAGAAGTAACTTGCTTTGTTAATCAATTACACACAAAAGATATTAAATCAAGATAAAAAGACTAAAAAAAATTGAGATACAAAATATTATTAGTTACATTTAAAAGATACTATATAAATTGACATATAAAATATTATTAGTTACATTTAAAAGATACTATATAAATTGACATATAAAATATTATTAGTTACATTTAAAAGATACTATATAAATTGACATATAAAATATTATTAGTTACATTTAAAAGATACTATATAAATTGACATATAAAATATTATTAGTTACATTTAAAAGATACTATATAAATTGACATATAAAATATTATTAGTTACATTTAAAAGATACTATATAAATTGAGATAAAAAGAAATAGCCAATATAATTTACAATACTTTTTGTATTATTATCTAAGTAAACCTTAAATATTACTTTATCTGTCCCTTTTTAGTTGTCATTTTTCAAAGCTAAATTAGATTATATTAATTCAATATTTTAAAATAAAATTTTAGATATTCAAAAATTATACAGAAAGTACTATAAATTGCAATATTTTTCATATCTATATAAAAAATACATCTTAAAATATTAATCAAAAGTCATAACGTTTGACTCTTAAAAAGGAAACTGTGACAATCAAAAAAATATGGAGGGAATAACAAATATTCTCCTTTTTGAATATTTAATTTAGAAGTATATATATACAACGAATTGAAAGTTAAAACATGTAAATCAATTTTAAAAATTAATCTTAATGCTTGGGCTCATGCACAACACCGACATTACTATCTAAGAAAGGTGAATAAGTAAGCAACACTCCGTCAACATGCTTGCTTGCTTATTTACATTCATTTATGGCTCACTTCAATTTTCATTCAACATACAAAGGTAAGTTTTCCACATTTATTCTCTAACGGGCCCATTTCACTTGCGAGTTCTACTGCCAATTTTAAGTTTTATCCCATACTCCCTCCGTCCACTTTTAATTGTTATGGTTTCCTTTTTCAAATTCAAATTTAAGAACTTCGACTAACATTTTACGATGTATTTTTTCATCATATTGATATGCAAAAAATTGCAATTTATAGTACTTTTTGCGTAGTTTTTGAATATCTATTCTTTTGTTTAAAACATCGAATTGATGTAATCTAATTTAACTTAGAAAATTATTTAAATTGACTTTCGAAAAGCGCAACATGACAACTAAAAGTGGACGACTGGAGTAGTAATTAGTACAATTATTTGGGGCCCATTTCAATTAGTACCTCCAATCGCAAATTCTTCAAATATCATTCGTGTGAATGCCAATCTTCATTTGCTAATGAAAATTTAGTTGACTCTCAAAATTTTATTGTGCCTCATAAAATGGAATTGAAAAAGTAACATATATTATTTGAAAATTACCTAAAAATCACAATAATTATCAACTTAAAATATTTAAAAGACATAAAAATTGGTTTAACTCTCGAACATAGAAAGTAACATATGTTATTAAAAAATTAAATAAAAAGTACTATAAATTACAATAATTAATAACTTAAAATATCTACAAGACAACAAAAAAAGCTAATTTTGTATTGTTTTTGTCACATAAATTAGGATTGCGATGGTTTTAAAATTTTAATTTTGGTTATACATTATAAAATAGCCGTAAAATTGAAATGATATATTTTTAAAAAAAATAATCTACTGAACCGTCCTATTGATAGCCCTAATGCTACTTCTACTCTATTTATTTTTACTTAAATTTAGAAAGATATGTTTCATTTCTACCCTCAATCTCATCGCTACATTTATTTGCTATTTAAAATAGAAATTAAAAAGAAAAATGACAAATAAATTTCTATATTAGGTCACTTATAAGAAAAATATATTATAACAATCTTTACTAATTTTTTAACAGTACATAATATATAACAATAATATAATTTTATCTCTATTGGGCCTAGGCAGCGCCCGGCTACCTTTACTAGTTTCTCTATATATAAGCGGCTTGACAAGCGCCTCTCGGGTATCTTGCCAGCTTGCCGACCAATGGACATTTTGGTCATTTCACGTAAAAATTTGCAATACGTGTCAAACCCTTACAATAACTATTGTTCGTGTAACTCTAAACAGAGTTTTAAGATCACAACAGAAAATTCCAATTTCTATCTATTTCGCCATTGTCTTCATCGCGACCTCTGTTTGTTTCTTCCGTCATTCAACTTCTTCTTGTTTCTTCCATCATTCAACTTCTTCTTGTTTCTTCCGTCATTCAGCTTCTTCTTGGTGAGTGTTGAATTTGTTGTCACTTTTGTTAATTTGAAGTTGTTACTGTCATGATGTTTAAAGAAATTAGGGCTTAAGACAAGTCTATTCTCTTCTCAAATCTTTGGATTATATTCTTTACCAATTCGTTTCTAGCTCAAAGAGCTTTAATTTATTTGAGGTTCTACTTATGTTATTCGTCGAATTTTACAAAAACCTCATTCCTTTGTTAACCAAAGCTTGTGTGTTTTTTTTAGCATTAAATGATCAATTTTATGTGTCTGTTAGTGCATTTAGATCACTAATAGAGAGTGATCTTTTACTTTGCTCCATGGATAAATATAGATCTAATATTTTTAATTTTGCTCTACGATTGAAGGCTTTGGTTCCTTTTGGCAAAAGTGCTCATTACCCCCCTGAACTTGAAGTTTTTTATTCAGTGTACACATAAACTATATTCCGTTTTAATTACCCCGAACTTGTTTATTCCTCCATCGCGTACACCTGTATAGTCCGGCCACTCCAATCGTGTATACACATGCATGACAGGTTGACAAAAGTGATGATGTGGATTTGCAGTTGGATAAATATTAGCCACCTAGATAAATAAATGTCAAACTTCTTAAAACTTCCGGACTATGCTTCTCACTAAGCTCAAAATTTCTCACTAAGCTCTAAGAAGTGTAATCGACGGAGTAAAGGGCGGATTTCAAACCATTTGGCTCTCTAAGAAGTGTAATCGACAGAGAAAAGGGCAGATTTCGCAAAATTCTTTCTGGATTTGGGTCAGTTGCAGTTCTTAGACGTGAAGTTATTGCTCGATTTCGTGAAGCGTTTGGTCGATTTTCTTTCGATCATGTCTGAAAGTCTTACCAAGTAAATGATTATCCACTCTTATGATGTGTTATTGTTTGTTTCCTTTACTCTTTCATTTATATTTTGCCCTATTTTTTCATTTAAGGTTTCGCCATATTCTTCGACTAAGGTTTCGCCATAGTTTCTGATTGATCTTCCAATTAGGGGTTTGATAGATTTCAACTAGAATTTTCACTTAATTAATGTATTATTATGAACTCGTTCAGCTTATGCATGCACGAGTATTAGGATTTCTGGTAATTAGTTCAAAAAATTAGGGCTTTTTAGTAAAATTAAGATTCTAGGGTTTTGATTTCAATATTCTATTTTGGTATTGTTAAATATTGGGGTTTTTTGTAATTTCCTTATATTTTGGTATTGTTAAATGGTGGGGTATTTTGTAATTTCCTTATGTATATTTGTATGATGTTGAGTAAAATCAATATTTTAGGGGTTTTAGGGTTCCAATTCATCTATTATGTTTTTGTATTGTTAAATATGATAATTTCCTCGAGTAGAATTTGGTTTTGTGGCCTCTATTTTGTTGTTGTTGTCTCTGATTATTATTGTGGTTATAGGTTGACACTTTGGCTACTAAGTACCTCAATTTAAGGTTCAAATTTGATTTCAATATTCTATTTTGGTATTGTTAAATATTGGGGTTTTTTGTAATTTCATTATGTATATTTGCGGTCCAGTATATGTTGGGGGTAGGACTGAATATGTAAAGAATATGGATGAAGATCATTTGTCAATTCCTGAACTTGCAGATTATGCTAAGTCTTTTGGGATTAGTAAGTTAGGAAAAACTTATGCAGTTCCATATCTAGTATATTTTATTGTAAATTTCCTTGTATAATTGTATGCTTATGAGTTAAATTTGGTTTTGTTGCCTCTATTTTGCTGTTGTTGTCTCTTTTGGTGTTGTTGCATCTGTTTTGTTAGACACAATAGATATTTATGTGTGTCATGACACTATTCTAGAAGATGTGGGTCCCACTTAAGGTCAAATTAGTCAATCTTTAAGTCAAGTGGGTGAGTATTTTAATGCACATGGGGAATCTGATGGTTCTTTAACTGCACAACCAAAAAAAACCAGATCTAGGGTTAGGTTCCTCTTCTACCTTTCCATCTAGTGAAAGAGGTAAGAATGATGGGGTTGCAGGTGTCCAACAAGAAACTGATGATGGTTATTCTTCAATAGATTAGACTGATACTGAAAAAAAAAGTTGAACCTTCTGTCCAACAAGGAACTGAACCTTCTATTCAAGAAGAAGTTGAACCAAGTGCCCAAGAAAATGTAGAGGAAGATATAGACAATGATTTCATTTGTTTTGACCAATCTATTGACTATGAAAGTGATGTGCATGAGGGGTTGAGGATTGTTAAGGAAGATGTGAGAAAGTTTTAGAGAAAGTAGAAGGAGAAAGAAGAAGGAAAAAACAAAAGCTTTTTTTAGGTGAAGTTGGACTTGATGAAGGGTATGAAGATATTGAAAAAGGCAAAAAAAAATTCAAGAGTAAGCTAACAGAGGATGAACCATACTATGACAGTTCTGATTGTGATAGTTTTCAAAGTGATGAAGAACAACATGTTTGTGATAATGACTTGAATGAGGGAGATTAAGGGGGAGAAAGAAGAGTAATAGAGTGATTTATGATTCTACTTGTGATGTTGTAATATAGCAGTGTGGTTGTGTATTTAAAAGTGTAAAGGAATTTAGAGAGGCAGTTACAAAATATGCTACAAAAAAGGAGTTGAGTTAGCCTAGTATGTGAATTAGAGTACTAGAGTAAGAGTCAAGTGTAAAAATGGTTGTCCATGGCTGTTGTATGCAAGCAAGGAAGAGAGGAGTGAAAACTTCACTATCAAGACATACAACCCAAGGCATAGATGTACCAGGACTAGCAATAATTTTTTATGTAATTCAAAGTTTTATGTAAGTATCTAAAAGATAGGATTATTTCTCAACCTAGTATGAAAGGGTAGGGAAGAGTTGAATGTTCATGTAGGCAAGGCAGTTTGTTTAAAAAAAGAAAAATTGTTTTAAAGGAAATTATGGGGGTTCATGTGGCAGAATTTAAAAGAATCCTAGACAACAGGGATGTGTTACTCCAAACAAATCCTGGTAGCACTTGTGTTGTGAAGCTTACAGATTCAGATCAGAAAATGGGATGAAACAGTTTCACTCTTTTTATATATGTTTTGATGCTATGTAAAAGGGTTTCTAACAAGGATGCAGAAGATGTATAGGGCTGGATGGGTGTTTTCTAAAAGGAATTTGTAACGGTCAACTTTTGATAGATGTTGCTAAAAATGCAAACAACCAAATGTATCCAATAACATGGGCAGTAATGGGTATTGAAAGCAAGTTGACATGGAAATGATTCATGACCATTCTGCAAGATGATCTTAATCTAAGAGATGGTTCCCAGATCACTATCATTAGTGATATGCAAAAGGTAATTGAATTTTATTTTTTTTGTCTTTAATTTTATTTGATCAATATTTAACTATCTTTATTATTTTGTTTTGCAACTACAAGGACTAATAGCTGCTGCAGATGAATTATTTCCAGAATGTGTGCTAGACACATATTAGAAAATTGGTCACAAAACTGCAGGGGCATAGAGAAAAGGAAGAAGGGGCATACAAGCATACTATGATCATGGGAATTAAAAGGTATTCCATGTGTACATGGTATAGCAGCAATGAACCACTTGAACATGGATGCATCACAGGCAATTTCAAGCTGGTATAGAAAAGAGACATATCTGAAGGCATATTCTCATTTCATTCAACTAGTCCCTAACATGGAAATGTGGCCTCAAAGCAGAAACCCAATAGTTAAACCACCTGAGGCAAGAAAAATGTTGGGTAGGCCACCAAAGAACAGAAGAAGAGAAATTGGTGAAGTGAGAAAAGCTGGAAAGTTGTCGAGAATGGGGACAGTAATGACATATTCAATTTGCAGAGGAGCGAATCATAATAAGAGAAATTGTCCAAAAATCCTAAACCTAAGTCTACACCAACACCCACTTAAGAGGTACATTCACATTAATTTGCTTTTATAAATTAGATTAGGTTACTTATTAACGTATCAATTTATTCTCTTGTTTTATTCTTTTTCTACTCACATCAGTCCTCCACTGGGAAAAATAGGGGTAGAGGTCAATATGAAAGAGCAAGCAGCAGCAACACTGGTACAAGAAGAGGTGCAGTAAGTGATTACAAGAAGAGGCCAAGAGTTGTGGGACAAGGTGTATTTGTTGCTGATAGTGGATATACATGTATTAATGTAAGTGTCTTATAAAATTGTCAAAATTATATTTTTAAATGTGAGTCCCAAAATAACTAGGTTGTTAATATTTTAGCAAGAATTGGCTAGCAGTATGAGGGTTAATATTGGTGTGCAGAGTTCTGCGCATGTGACAGGTAATATTGGTTTTAAACCTACCTAGTGACTGAAGTGGAAAGGCAAACAGACCATGACTCAAAGAGAACTTCAAGTCCAAAGTTTATGCATCGTATTCAAACTAGATCAAAAGTTGTTGGAATTCAAACAAGGGCACAAGCCAAGGGAAAATCTCCCTCAAAGAAAACTTCTTAGTTAATGTGTATTGGTGCTTTGGTGGTTGTGTGATTGTAACAACCAAACTTAAATTAGTGGTTGTTTTGTGTTTTGGTGCTTGTGTGGTTGTTCAACTAAACTTAAAGTAGTGATTATTTTGTGTTTTGGTGGTTAACTTAAGTGATTGTGGTTGTTGGTTGAAACAATGAAACACTATGATGTTTGTGTTTAATGATCAAGAAAGCACTAGCTATGTTATGCCTTTATGTTATTATTTCGTGTTTTGTTATCATATTACCTATTTCATGTAATTGTAGTTTTATGAAAAAAGGACAAGTCAATTGAACATACACCTTGATATATATATAGCAGAAACATACATCACTAAAACACCAAACCAAACTAATGCACAAAATGAGAACCCTAGAACTAAAAGACCTTGCGTTAATAACAATTACATTCACAAAAAAATATTCAACGATACACTAAATAAAAGAACAATATCACATTACATATCAAAGTAATGCCCAAAATCAGTTTTAACATCCATCTACACTTCAGCTGTTTTTGTTATTTGTTGGTCTTCTTCAACAGACCCAAAACACAGTATTCACCTGGATAGAAAATTCTGGATCATACCAATCGAAAAACTTACAAGGATTTCGAAATAAGGATTGCATTTCATAAAATCAAAGTTAAAAAATTACATAATAAGAAATTGGCAAATTAAAAGCAAAAAAATATGAAACAATACATACCCCATAGTGTCTACAACCGAGAAATCTACCTCCGGGATTGTCATTTGTCTATGAAATTTTCAGAATTGGAGGAGTCCCACCTAAACAAACAAGTCTCCTATTATAATTCATGAATTTATCTAATGCAATTAACATGAAAAAGAGAGAAAAATTCTAAAATTTGAAAAGGGAGAAGGGATTAGGGAGAATAAATAGTTAGAGAATAGAGAGAGAGTTCTGAAAAGATGCCAAAAATTAAACAAAAATGGAGATGTTATGTTTTTTTTTACCGTTGTAGCTTTATGATGTGGCAAAAATTTACTTTCTCACGCATCTCCTAGAGTTTGTTGTCAATTTCTACGCCAGGTGGACAATAAAGATGTACGCGATGGAAGAATAAACAAGTTTTGGGGTAATTAAAATGAAATATAGTTTAAGTGTACATTGAATAGAAAGCTTCAAGTTCAGGAGGGTAATGATCACTTTTGCCTTCCTTTTTAAGACTATGTGTTAGGGAGTAAATACAAGTTGTGTGAAGATTCAATAGGAAAGAGCACGAGCATACAAAAATTGGAATCACTAAGGTGTTCTTCTCCTTAGGTTTTCCAAGATAAATCCTAAATACACATCGAAGTGTAGTTGTTGTAGATTTCATTGAGCGTAGAAGATGTTTGATAACAGTAGACATATCAAATACAAAAGTTATATATATTGTGCTGACTTGTACAACAATTGTATATTAATAGAAGTTTAGAATAACATATTCTCTTCTAAGTTGTTAATATTTATGTCATTGTTACAAATTAAGGATACGTCATTACTCAACAGAAAGAGCTGCTAAAATCAAGCTTAGGAGACATGATCTGCATACTCAATTGTCACTTGAGAAAAAAGAGATTCTTTTATCACGGCGACGAGTGAAAAATGTCGAATTAGTAGGCTGCTATCTCCTGACTAATCATGCCAAAGAAGAATCATGTTCTGAAGTTTTTGTTGAATGCCTACAGAGAACTCTAACGATAAAAGAGTCTTATGTTACCAAAAAAGGTCAGATACCAAAATAACTACTTAGAATGTATTTTTCATTTTACTTATATATGCATTGGTAATGTTAATTAGCTTTCCATCCTGAAGTAGCTGATACATCCCGCGTCAACAACCCACCGACGACCTCGATAAAGAAAATAATATACATAGACACTTCTCTGTATTCGAAATTGGTTCGTTATCATTACAATTCTATTTCAATTTTGCTTTGCCAAAAATGACTTCATATATTAATTGGAGTGATTGCTTATTAGGTTCAACATCAATGGTCGCCACTGAACCGCATGATCCAACAACATCACTGTCAAATTATGCTCCATTTAGCACACATATCACGGAATTTGTGTTACCCAGATGCTATGCATACAGAGTATTGAGAAGAAGAATAGAAAATTGATTTTATTGATACTTTCAATCTGTTTTCACAATGTATACAAGTCGACTATATATAGTTGTCAATTAGTTAACACCTAACAGATTCTACTAGGACCACTTAATGACAGCTTACTAATAACAGCTCATCAACTCCACTAACAATCATTCTAACTAACTAACTAATTCCAATTAGTTTCAATACTCCCCCTCAAGCTGGAGGGTGAAATATTCCAAGAACTCCCAGCTTGGTTAATAAGAAACTATGTTGAGCTACTCCCAATCCTTTTGTCAATAAGTCTGCAAGCTGGAACTTGGTTGACACATGAACAGGATGTATGAGGCCTTCCTTCAGCTTCTCCCTAACAAAATGACAATCAATCTCGATGTGTTTTGTGCATTCATGAAATATAGGATTTGCAGCAATCTGCATAGTTGTTTTGCTATCACAATAGAGTTGTACATGAGTTGACACTTCCACACACAAGTCTTTCAGCAATCCAACTATCCAAATGACTTCAGCAACTGCAGCAGCCATGCTACGATATTCTACTTCTGCTGAACTACGACTTACTGTTTGTTGCTTCTTGGATTTCCAAGAAATCAATGAAGTCCCTAACTGCAAGACAAAACCTGTGACTGACCTTCTTGTATTGAGACAAGCAGCTCAATCTAAATCACAATGCACCACCAAGTTATCTATAGGACCTTTTTTAAGAAATATTCCCAATTAATGTGGCCTTTTTAAATATCTCACCACCCTCAATACAGCCATCCAATCTGATTGCTTATGATGTTGCATTAACTGACTTAACAACTGAACAACAAAACAAATGTCTGGCCTAGTAATTGTTAAGTAAATCAACTTTCCAGTAAGCTTTTGATATTTGTCCATGTCTTCAAACAATGGATCATCCTGGACTCTTGTACGCCTATTATGCTCCACTAAGGTAAGCTTAACATTGGGCTCTAGTGGTGTGTGCATAGGTTTGGATTCTGCTAGCCCTACATCTGATACAAGCTCCAATGCAAATTTTCTCTGATTCATCAAAATCCCATGTTGAGACCTCAAAATTTCAATCCCTGTGAAGTATTTCAACTCCCCTAGGTCCTTGACCATGAACTGGCTGTGCAAGTACTGTTTTGCATCATTAATAAGACTGTGACTGCTCCCTGCTTCCTATAAATAGTATATCATCCACATAAATCAGTAACACCACAATATCATCTCCACAGTGCTTAGTGAATAGAGAATGGTCATGTGAGCTCTGTTTATAACCTGCATCAAGCAAGGCAGTGGTCAATTTAATGTTTCACTCTCTAGAGGCTTACTTGAGTCCATATTGCGATTTCAACAGTTTACATACTCTAGTCTCCCCCTTACTATGAAATCCTTGAGGCAAAGACGTATACACTTCCTCATAAAAATCTCCTTGTAAGAATGAATTGCTCACATCCATCTGAAAAAGGCTCCAATCCTTTGAAACTGCTACACTTATAACTTTTCTAACTATCCCCATCTTTGACACTGGGGAGAAGGTTTCATGGTAGTCCAAGCCTTCTTTTTTAGTATATTATTTAGCTACAAATATAGCCTTGTATTTTTCAATTTCTCCATTACCTTGGGCTTGACTTTATACACCTATTTGGACCCTATAGGTTGCTTACTAGATGGCAAGGGCACCAGCTCCCATGTTTGATTTTCCTCCAAGGTATTAATTTCTTGTTGCATTGCATCTACCCATTCTGGATGTTGTGATGCTTCTTGAAATGATCTTGGTTCCTGAATAGCTAAAAAAAGAACTCAAATAGACCAGATACTTGTTAGACAAGTATGAGTATCCAATATAGTTGGTAATAGGATATGTACAATTTGTTGCAGTCTTGGAAGGAGTAACATAATCCTTGAGCCAAATAGGAGGTTTGACATTTCTATGAGGTCTTCCTTGAATCCCAGAAGGTATATCTACATGTTCTTCCTAATGCCCAACTTCATCAACAACTTCATTGTCCTCTGCGGGTTCTATTCCTCCTGAAACTGGGATTGCAATGGTCTTAGTAAGCACATCATGTATGGTTGTAATCTCTTGTGTGGCTATATCAGGAACTTAAATACTCTCTTGAGCATAATTATTTTCAGTAACTAATTCATTAGGAGTGCCAAATGGGATGACAATGAACATATCTTCAGTATCACAATGTGGTCCTTCCTTAAAAGAAAATATTGTCTCCTTGAATATTACATCTCTACTGACAAACAGAATGCCAGTTTTATACTCATATAACCTATAGCCCTTATGGTTCTCACAAAAACCTATCATGACTGCCTTTCTAGCACTCTCTTGAAACTTGTCACCTCTAAGAAGCACACTAGCAAAGCAAAGACATCCAAATACTCTTAGATGATCAATCTTTGGTTGCTTCCCAAACAACATTTCATACGGTGATTTTCCATTCAATACCAATGAGGGGAGTTTGTTTAAGAGATATACAGCAGTTCTCACACATTCCCCCCAGAACCTGATGGGTATACCACTTTGAAACTTCAATGCTCTAAACATCTCTAAAATATGTTTGTGCTTCATTTTCACAGTCCCATTTTGTTGAGGAGTGTAAGCACAACTGGTTTGATGAATAATGCCTTCAGACTTAAACAAATTATCACATTGAGAATTAACAAATTCTCTACCATTATCAGATCTGAAAATTTTAACAAACACACAAAACTGGTTCTTTATTAATGACAAAAAAATTTCAATACATGAAACACTTCACTTTTGGATTGAATCAATCAAATCCAAGTATACATGCTATGATCATCTATCAAAGTAACAAATGAATGTTTCATGTCATATGTAGACTTCTTATAGGGTCCCCAGACATCTAGGTGAACTAAATCAAATGAAGCTACAGCCTTGGTAGAATGGGCAGGAAATTTAAGTCTATGTTGTTTAGCTAATAGGAAAATATCACACTGGTCGTGAACATGAGAGTGTATTTTCTTAGGAAGTGACTCAATATGATGCATGGATGCACCAGAGGGATGTCCTAGCTTGTAATGCCATAGAGTGTCTTATGCACTGCTAGTGATCTTAGTTGAAATATTAGTTGATGTATTAACTGTGCTTGGTATGCAATCTTTGAGTATGTATAACCCTTTTTGTTCCCTACCAATCCCCGTGACCTTGCCATTGGAAAGAGCCTTAAAGATGCAGAAAGCAGGAAGAAAGGTAACAACACAAGATAATTCTCTCGTTAATTTAGAAACTGAGAGTAAATTGAATTTAAACTCAGGAACATGCAGCACATTGTGTATAGCTTGATCTCACATAATTAGTGTCTCTCCTTCACTGTTGATTTGGGATTTATCGCTTGTTGAAACTTGAACTTTACAATCATCTTGTAACTTTTTAAGTGAAGTAAGAAGCTCTTTAAATGGAGTAATGTGATGTGTAGCACATGTGTCAATTATCCACTCATGTTCTAATGCAATAGATAGGAAAGCAATGATACCTGCTAGATTTGATGAGTATTCAGATGTGTCTTCCTTCCCAGCATTTGCCGCATTTCATCATATTGTTGGTCACTGAAGAAATGACCCTTAGATGATGATGACTCTGTTGTGTGAGAGGTATTGGCTTGAGGCCTAATTCCCGATGAATCTCCCCTAGCAGCGGGTCTAGAAGGTCTATATCCACCTGAATTGTGTTGACCTCGACTCTGAGGCCTATATCCAGTGGTATGATTCTGATTGTTACCAAATGAGTTGGATACATCGCCTTGAATAACTCTATTAGGTCTAAAGTGTCATGCTCCATCGTTGTTATTGTCCCTCATTTTACTCTGAAAACCAGAAGGATAACCAACCAATCGATAACAGTTGTCCTTTTTATGATTTCTATATCCACAGTACTCACAAAACAGATCAAATCTTTGAGGACCATTGGAAGTATCCAATTCTTTCTTAAAAGATGGCATATAAGATTGTAACTTCCTTGCTAGTATTGTTAATACCTCCTTCTTATCATCAACAACACCTAAAGTCATTTGGCTCTCCTCTTCTGATACTATTGTATATGATTCATTTACTGTAATAATTGGAGTCCTAGCTAGAATGCTAATTCGAATTTGACTATAACTTTCATTCAACCCCATAAGAAACTGCAGCAGTCGTTGAGATCTTAAATGTTTCAGGTAAGGCCGTGATTCCCCACAATCACAATAAGGTAATGGTGCCATGATGTCTAATTCATGCCATGCATCTTTCAATTTTGAATAATAAGTAGTTACAGGATCCATACCTTGCCTTGAGGTCGCAATTTCAGTCCAGAGATGATAAATTCTCATCAAATTTGATCGATCAAAACGCTCTTTGAACTCGATCCAAATTTGCTTAGCATGTGATGCATATAGGATGGTTGGCATTAACTCAGCTGCTACTGTACAACCAATCCATGAGAGCAAGATCGCATTGCACTTTTCCCATAATTCACCCAATTATTCCTTGTATTGATGCTTTGCACATGTTCCATCGATGAACCCAAGCTTGCCTTTTCCTCGAAGAGCAAGCTTTATTGATCTACTCCGCAATGTGTAATTCTCTGGTCTTGTAAGTTTGATTGGAATTATGACTGCACCTGGTGTATCTTAAGCTTGCAGAAACAACGGATGATGATTATCTACCACAACCACAGGTGCTTCTATAGATCCGGTTTCTTCAGGGACTGCATGGTGATTCTCGAAACAGATCAAAATTAACAGTAAACTACAACGAAAAACAATGATCGGAGCTCTGATACCATGTCAAATTATGCTTCATTTAGCACACATATCACGGAATTTGTGCTACCCAGATGCTATGCATACAGAGTATTGAGGAGAAGAATAAAAAATTGATTTTATTGATACTTTCAATCTGTTTTCACCAGTGGCGGAGCCACCTTGATGAACCCCCTTCGGCGGAAAATTATATGATTTATACATGGTTAAAATATTTTTTCGGTATATATAGTAGATGTCGAACCCCCTTCGACTACTTCGTGTGTCTATTTTTTCAGATTTTAAACCCCCTTATTAAAAATTCTGGCTCCGCCACTGGTTTTCACAATGTATACAAGTCGACTATATATAGTTATCAATTAGTTAACACCTAACAGGTTCTACTAGGACCACTTAATGACAGCTCACTAATAACAACTCATCAACTCCACTAACAATCATTCTAACTAACTAACTAATTCCAATTAGTTTCAATAATCACCTAATTGAACTGATTGCCTATTAGGTTCAACATCAATGGCTGCCACTGAATCGCGTGATCCAACAACATCACCTAACGTCAAAAAAGGTTTGTTTGACTCTAATACGTATTGCAACTGTTATATGAAGATTATACATTATTATTGGGCTATTTAGAATGTGAGCAACCTAATCTTTACTATTTAGAATGTACCTTCTTTATGATTTTACTTGCATATGCATTTTCCATGCTTAATGAGATTTCTTTTCTGTAGTGGTCGATATATTTAGCACTAACAACCCAATTATCACAGCCTCTGGTAAAAGAAAGACTATACCTGGACCAAGGGCGGAGCTACAGGTATGAAAGGGCGATTAGCTGAACACCCTTCGCCAGAAAATTATATCGTGTATATAGGTAAAATACTGTCTAAAATTTGGATATATAATTAATTGAACACCCTAAGACATGACAAAGTCTAGTCGTCTGGTGGTAAGCGTGTTCATTTATGTGTAAGAGGTCTGCGGTTTGATCCTCAGTTGCAGCATTTTTTTAAACACACTCTCTTTTCATTTATGTGTAAGAGGCCTGCGGTTCGATCCTCACTTGCAGTGTTTTTTTAAACATTCTCTCTTTTAAAAAACAAAAAAATTGATCCTCACTTGCTGCGTTTTTTTAACACTATCTCTTTTTAAATAAAAAAAAACACATAAATAGTTGCCTCATATCTTCTTTATGTTTCTAGCCTTAAATTGATTAACATAGCCTTAAATCGATTAACCTAATAATTAAGATTTTATTGTTTTCTATATATTTTCGATTTGTATTAAGTGAATTATTAGGTATACACATTCTCAAGAAAAAAAATTTAAAGATAAAATTAAAGATTATTATCCACTATTATACTTTTGATTATTTCTAAACTATTTTTTTAGAAAATGTAAAATAGTTAAGAATCTTACTAAAACAAAAGGTAAATATGGAAAAAAAGTTTCGATAATTCTCTCGAACTTTGAAACATTCAATTATTTGAATCACGAAAAAAGTCTCAACAATTCATTTGATATGAACTAGAGGGAGTATATTCAAAGCAAAAATTATTTTTGTTGACTTTTATCCATTAGTTTTGATTTATACCATATAGTTTTATAATTTTAAGTTTATGTATGATTTAGTTATTAAGTGAGATGTAATTTAATTTTTAAATTTGGGTGCACCCACTCATTAGTAAAAAAAAAATTGTGCACCCACTCCGCTAAAAAAATAATTATCGACTCTTTTAAAATTTGAACACCCTTGACGAAATTTCTGGCTCCGCCACTGACCTGGACACACTACTCTGTATTCGAAATTGGTTAGTTGTTATAAAATTTTGATTTCAATTTCACTTTCCCAAAAATATTTCATATATTAGTTGTTATAAAATTATTTGATTTCAATCTTCAAGTTTTTATTGATGTTCTAATTTTTGTATAATATTAGTGTGAAATAATCTAAAACAGAGCTATATCCTAAATCAGGATTCATATGACCGTTCCTAACTTGAGTTTTGAATTGAAACATAATGAAATTTATTTATCGCCTCTATGAGTTGGCAGAAAATGTTAACCAACAAGGAAAATTGGTTTCACATACTCAATTCATGTCATATAAAGATAGACGAGCAAAGATTGAGGTTGGAGTTACTTCAGCGCTGTTTGAATTGACCCTTCATTGGCTCAAAATTAAATGCAAAGATAAGATGTGAAATTGTTTGGATATAGGGACGGAGGTATATGCTAGAGTACTGATGGAAACTGTTTCATATTTAGTACATATATATTCATGCATTACTTTATTATATTTCATGATTTTAGATTTAGATCGGTGTTCATATATAAACTTATACTTGTACTGCTTATACACTCAGTACCATTTCCGCACTTATCTCTATAAAAATGAGACTACTACATATAGTAATACTATATTACCCTTATTTATAAGGGAACAACTACAAGGACGAACGCAGCATCCAATAATTGTACTAAATGTAACGTCAATTGTACCACAAATTTGGACCCATTTTATTTTTTTATTTTCTTACTTAACCACGTGTATGCATATCCCTTTTTCGACAGACACGTATTTGACAACTGGTCTCCACATTCATTTTCACTTATACTCCCCCAAATACTCTTCCATTTTTCTTCAACTTCTCTCTCCTCTCCATAGTTGATTCATTCCTTCGCTCCATTTTGTATTGATAATGGATAATTTGGTAATGTTTTGAAGTTGATGAATAAGTACTTCGCTCCAAATAAGGGTAATGTACCTTATTTTTATTGATAATTTAGTACTTCTATCATTGTCATTTATTTATATTCATTTTTCATGGCCTCTTACCCTTTGAAGTTTCTTGAATTTGGTATTTATCAGGAGACTCTGATTATGAAATCACTATTCAAAGTTGCTGCATGTGAGTGTCTCGCAAATTCTTGCTTATATTTTGTTCGAAAATTTCTACAAGTACTCATACTATATCGGTTCATATCTTTGTTTTTTGGTGTTGTTAAAAAGGTCGATTATATTTCTAGGTGGAGGTAAAATTTTGAATTACTCTAAAAATAGTACCTTTGATTTTATTTTTCTTATAGACTTCTTTATGTATCTGGATTTGAGCCTTTCTTCTTATTTTCTTTCAATCAAGGTAATTTTTAATGGATGATACATATATTTGTTTCTTTTCTTCCGTCATGCTTCTTTGTTAATTCTTTACAGGAGATTGATTTTTTGTTCAACCACTTCTTCAGAATTAATTTCATGTTTGATATGCCTAAAGTAACTAAAAAAGTTTATGTTTCTTTTCCTTTTCTTTACACAGGAGTTCTACACCTTGCATCACATTCACCAATTCAAGAGCTATGTTATTTAGCACTACTAGACAATATTAGTAAGTAATATGTCGTTCAATTAAACTTAGAATTTCGATTTTTGGGTTGTGTGCCTTTTAAGGCTCATATTCATTTGGGGTTTGAGTATCTTTATTTTTGTATGTGAACAAATCGTCCAACTCTATTCGATCTTTCTATGAATTTTCTACAAGTCCAATATAGATGTGGCACACAAGTTTGTCTTCCATTTAACACTTTTTTCTACTGGGTTTTGCACTTAAAAACTGATGATTGCCTGCATTCTACTATATGCTATCTTGGGATGCAGGGAAGTAAAACTGAAAAACTTCAGTTGTTAGCTGTGGCGTGTTTATTCCTTGATGTCAACACGGAAAAAAAAATGCTCTTTCAATTATAGATTTGCAGGTTACTAAAATATATCAGCAAGTCTTATGCTCTCTCTAATTTTTACAAATTTCCTTGAATCTAGAGTTTGTAGGCTAAAGATATTTGTGTTCTTTATCACTCTTTAAATAAGTGTATATTTTGGTTATAATGACATAACGTGTTGAATTGACAAAGTATTTGCCAGAAATGTTTACCAGGCCAACCAATCATACCGGAAAGAGGAAACTAGACATAAATGCTTCGTTTAATCTTCCATGTGTTCATATTACTTATTCCTTGAGATTCAATTCTCTTGCCAACTAAATTTTGTGTTATTCCAGGCACAATTCTCTATTTAGTTATGGAATAGGTGAAACCGAAATAAGTGTTGATGATACTGATGCCAAATTGCCAATCTTATTCCTCAGTTGGTGGAGAAGCTTGCAATACCCAGTCTTCATAACCAGTTAGCTAATTGTTGGGATATGCTTAGCACCAGTGAAACAGAGTGTGCTGTCTCTGCCATGCGATTAGTGTTGAGATATGGCCCCTTTTCTGGCTCAGCCCTCAGCAATCTGGTTGCTGTACTTCGTGATCGTCTAGCTGATGTTGTGGCTAATTTGAAGGTGTGTTCTTATCTCCAGAGGCCCAAATTGTGTGCATAATTTTTACAACAGAATGTTATGTTATTTTTAAGTTTAGGTTTCTAATCATCCAAGTGAAACAACTACTAGGAATAAGTTTTCCTAGCAAAGTGTGAAGAGATTAGAAATAGTGAAGTGGGGAGAAGTGGAGTAGGACTGGGGCTTCATCTTTATTTTGTTGGTAGTGAAGTCATAGGTTTATGATATGCTTTAACAGTGTGTGTGGCACTTTGTTATTACTACACTCTACATTCACTACTTAAAACAATTCTCTCATTTCAACATAAAATCTCCACATTTGCAGTAGTAATTAAGAACAACTTGCCAGCCACCAACAAAGTAACCGACCGCGTTACTGTATTACCTTTTGCTGATATGACAATAAATTGACAAGGTTCCCTAGCAATAGGTTAATAAGATTTTTCTTACTGGACTATCAACAACTTTGGACCAAAAAGAAAATTTCAATTAACTTGGAAACTCTATACAAGTAAAATGACCTCTTGACCAAACACATGTAAAACTATGAAAGCCAAATTAAGAAATCACGAAAATTGGGGTGTGAAAAAAGAAATAAATGTGATATTGAAGATGTAAATGACAAAAAATAATCTTCTTTAAGTGGTAAAAGTTGAGCATAAGTGAAATTGGACACTTTTGTTGTACTATATACTATTTTATAGTGCTAATATATTATTTAATTGTACTAATAGAAGATGTTGATAAGATGGTAATATCATTTTTGTTTTCTATCTTTACCATATAGTGTAGGAGCCTTGCCTTTCCGACGAGCAGTTACGCTTTTTTCTGAAGTCTTTACTAAACCACCAGAAAGTAGGTTGCTTTGATATAACCTGAACATTGTCTAGCTACCATGGAGATCATAGTCAGAGAGCTGAAAAAAATCATTCTACTTTCAGACCTTGCCTTAATAATAAAGGAAAAACTTGGGTGTTTTTTTAAAACTAAAAAATCCACAAATGTTTACTATCTTTCTCACATAGAAGAAGTGTTTATTGCATGAGAGAAGAAGCTATTGTCTTAACAAGATAAGCTGCTTAGAAATACCTATTATGTTATGGTATTAAGAATTCTTGGTAAATGGCATAGAAAGAGAACGCCAATCTACCACAAAAATTTGTGCATTAGTTATTTTTATGTACTCTTGATAAAATAATAATCACTTTTTATGTACTAAGATGTTTTTGCACTTTCTCTTTTCCTGCCAATTTTTACAGAGTGAGAAGGGGATAAAAGTTAAGAGTTGTTTTAGAGCTTATTACAACACCAACTGAAGAATAAGTTGAAATATTATGTATTAGTAGATTTTAAGTTGCTCACTCTCCTCTCAATGAAAAAGAGAGTGAGACTTGAGAAGGACATGCTGATTTTATAATCATACATCTATTTGAATAAAGTAATATGTTATATCCATTGATAATATGTGTTGTTGCTATGAGATCTTTGTTTTTTTTGGCATGTGAATCAAGTAAAATTGTATGACTAAAAGAATGGTCAAAATAAAACATTAGAAAGGAAAGGATTGTTTTTAATAAAAAGAGAAGTGAAATGCATTATGCACATGAGTAGTAGCCACTGGATTGCACTTGGGTGGAAGGTCCTTTTAAGACTAATTACTCAGATAAGTTTGTAGCAAATTAAAACAAGGTTTCCTAAAACATTCTTTTGTTGAGAACCTTTTCTCTTACAAGTGAAGTAGTCAAATTTTTTCAACTCTCCTTGAGATGGGACAAGAAGAAGTAAGTCTAAAAAATTTGCATTCATTCTCCTTCATCTTTGTTATCATGAAAGATTTATATGTAAAAGATGTATGGTTCTTTTGAGCTTGATATAGTGACATGAGGATTTTAGAAATGTACATACATACTTATATTATCCATATTGGCGTTTTAAAAAAAAAAATTCTTCTATTGCACTTCACAATTTTGTGATTGTTTGACTACCTAATAACTATTGTGCAGAGTAATAGTTGGTTCTTTTTCTTTAGTGTATCCTTGGTTGGAAACATTAAGTTCCATAATGTTCACAGTTTGAAGTAAATAGAAGCAATTATAGCTCAAGGGAATGGTGAAAAGATGCGTGAGGAAGAACTCATGTTTGTCCATCATGATTCATTGTGCTTGCACATGACCGAACATGGATAGAAAGACAAACTTTAAAGCTTAATTACAGAGAATTCTACGAAAGATAAGCCTGAACCAAAAGCTTTTGCGGAGAATACTGTTCATAAAGAGGTGCCAGAATGAACAAATTGTCTGAAAAGGTGTTTGACGTTTGTCTATGTAATGGAGTTGATTTCCTTGTGTAACCCGCATTAACAAATTTTATGTGAACTCTTTTTTTTTGTCCAAGTATTCATTATTCCCAATGAAACCAGCTACTGGATTTCACATTGTTGAAACTTTTGCTGTAGGTAATAGAATGCAACTAAATAATCGTATGACTGGTCATGTTGGGTTAAGGTTTTTGCAGTGCTACATAGATTTTAGAATCTTCGATTGATGAGAGTTTCATATCTCATTTCCATGTGGGATCCAATTCACTGTTTTAGCTTTCCCTAGGTGTGTTATTGTTTTGGATAACATGTACATGCATGATGATCCCCAAAAAGGAGTTATGATCATCACCTTTACAGAAGGCCAAACACATATACAACCCCTTAAACTTGCCCTCATTTTTCATTTTGGCACTCCAACTTAGCCTTGTTCCATTTTAACCCTTAAACTCCATTTTTTGTGTACCATTTAAATACTTATACTAATTTTTATGATTTCTTTTTATTTATGTTCCTTCAATTGCAATTTCTTGTTTTAAAAAAATGACATGTGCCTGTTAATTTTCGTAAAAAAAATAAATATTCGCGAACGAACATAAAAAATTTTAAACAATAATATTATTTTTTGATATTTTAAAAATAAATTGACGAAAGTTCTTTGATTTTCTCTCTTAAACATTCAATTAAATTAAATAACACTACTTATTTATTTTTTCTTATCATCTAGGCTATCTAAATTTAACGCAAATACTCACTTTTAATTTTTAATATAAATCAATACGAATAAAAAAACCCATCTTCCAAAAGACTCGACTGACTTTGTCAATAACACTACTACAAAAAGACTCTTGTTCATTGCTAATAATACTACTAAACAATGTTAAAATTCGACTGACTTTGTTAGGTTGTCGGTGATTTTAAAGAAAGAAAACCAACACAATTTCGTCAGTTATTTTTCACACAAAAATACATAACACTCTTAAAAAAAATTATTATTTTTTAAAAAGAATTATTTTTTGTTAATTTTTAATCTTTTAACTAAAATTAAATGACACATGTCGATTTAAAATAAGAAGTTGCAATTGAAGAATATATATAAAAATAAAGAAATCATAAAAATTAGTATAAGTGTTTAAATGGTATAGAAAAAATAGAGTTTAAGCCTTAAAATGAAACAAGACTAAGTTGAAGTGCCAAAATGAAAAATGAGGGCAAGTTTGAGGGGCTGTATATGTGTATGGCCTTTACAGAATGTAATTTAATTATTCTGGTGTTGGGCCCGTGCTCATGCCAATCTAGTATATATATATATATGAGCATAGAAAATCATAGCCTACCTATATATTTTTTTTAATTTGTTTCTATAATATTAAAAAAAATATATTATCTATATGTTTAAATTTTAAGAATTATCTTATCACGTAATTTCTCAAAAATTATTTGGCTCTTCAAAATTTTATGATTAAGCATAAATAATTATGCATTAGATTAAGTTTAAGCCTATCCAACCTAACTTATTTTTAATGTGATCTTTATTTTAGTTCAATTTTAACTCATTTTTAAATTTACTTTAATCTGAATTTATAGTTGAACTTTTTTTCCTATATATTCACGTGCTTGAACTAGGTATCTACACCTTTCACTTCATCAATTTGATCTGCTCTATTGTTCAAATAGATATGACTATGAGTTGTAATAAATATAAAACGGTAGAAGTAATGAATTAGGCGTTAGAGTAAATGAAGAAAACAAATTTATTACTCAACAATCAATTGGTGTGAGTTAAAGTGACTATATGTTGGTGAGAATAATAAATTTTAAAAAGTAATGATGTGATTATAAATTTATTTACATATGAAATAAATGGTTAGTAACTATAAATGTGGGGTTGTTTTAACAAAATATAAACTTGTAGATCAATTTTTGTATTTAAAAAATCTCAAATAATGATGAAATTCCCATATCATGATTTTTGGAGAATATGGAATCCCATCTCATGATATGAAATTATGAGATGGAATCAGCGTGAAATCGCATGTCCAAACACTAATTTCATCTCACAATTTTATATCGTGATATAGTATCGCATGACCAAACGGCTAGTAAAATAAGCTTTCCAAATTCAAGTACTATTGAATACGTGAAAGTAGCTGCTCACAGCAAAATTAGGACAAAAATTAAAGAAACAGATAGCACAAAATACTCTAATTTATCTAGCACCGATAAAATTTCAAGAATCAACTATACACATATAAAATACTCTTTTTATCTCAATTTATGTGGCACTTTTTTGTTTTTCAAGAGTCAAACAGTTTAAGTTTGACCGGAAATTTGCTCATGAAATCTTTAATTTTTTTTAAATGAAATTTATATATTTGTAAACTACATAAAAAGTACTATAAGTCATGCTAATTGATAATTCAAAATGTTTAAAAAATCTGGATAACTTACGATTAAAGATAAACTTATTTGAATCTTGAAATCCAAAAAATATCACATAAAATGAAACAGAGGGAATAAAATATTTTCATGATCCCCATCTTATGAAGTATCCTAAAAAAGTAAGCTTACAATTGAAATTTTATTTGGATCCCACATTTTTTTTTCATTGGATGAAGTTGAATGAATAAGAGGCAGCCAAAGGGAATAAGCAGGCAGCACAAGCAGACATGTTGGCGGTCTGGTGCCTGCTATTCCCTTTTATTAGATATTAATATAATTCATTTTTTTCAAGTTTTCAGTTTTTATTTTTCTAAATCTAAAACCAAACAAATAAACCAAATTATAAATCCAAAATCAAATTAAAAAATCAATCCAAATTAAAATTCGATTTGATTTTGGTTTAATGTTTCGATCTAATCCAAATAGTGCTCAGCCCTAGCCAAATGTATGTTATGAGGTGATAAGACGGGATATGAGGCAACCTCAGGCTATCGAGGGTATGATCCTAGATAGGAATGTATGAAGAACACATATTAGGGTAGAAGGGTAGTAGGTAGTGTAGTGCTCTCTTGCTTAAGGTAACTAATTGTTTATGATTGTTTTTCTAATAATTAATAATTTGTCCTAGTATGTTATTTAATTTATGGTATTTTAACTATCAAATGATTTTATTGTTGTTTCTTGCATTGTTTTTTGTTATTTGTTATATTCTCTTCACAGTCTTCTCTTACTTTAATTATACCAGAATTTGTTGCACTTGAATTGAGAGTCTTTCAAAAACAACTTCTCTACCTCCATGAAGTAGTGATAAGGCATGCATACATTTTATTCTTTTCGATTGAATTAATTTCACTGATATATTGTTATTGTTGTTGTTATTGCCTATCGTTAATTGAAAAAGAAAAACTTATTTTAATATATGGAAGTTAAGGAGAGAAAAATATATTTATTATTAGTATGAACAAAATTTGAGATTTGACCCTTCATGTTCACTAAAGCAAATGACTGGTTATAAACATGCTTATTTATAGTCGAATCTTTTGAATTTTCTTGGATTCTACGACTCAATAAATTGATAGCCAAGCCTACATGTGTGCATGTGAGGGTGTATTTAGTTGGACATATCCATATGTCTTTAGATTCTAGTATTCTATATTAGAAATTATTGTTAGTAAAATTCAAGTGAGGAACACTAGAAAGACACTTGCCTTTATGAATCTGTCAAAAGATATGATGCAGATATTATTAAATCCAAAAGTTGAGAGGCCACATGTGCTTGCTAGCTAGTTACACCGTATTTATTTATTGAGAAAATTTCAGAAATAGCAAAGATAATAGATATAATAATGCTCTATAGTTATAGTTTTGGTAATTGCGCTTCATAGTTATAGTTCTGTTTGCTATGGAGGCTATGATTTATATATTTTGCTTGTCCGTTTGTATATTTCACTTGCGAATATACAAACAGGATAAGTATATACAAATTCTGAATTTATACATTTACGAATTTTTCAAAACTCTGTTTGTATATTTCGCTTGCCAATATACAAACATGATAATTTATTATGAATTTTTCATAAATCGTATACAAATAGCTAGGGTAAGCATATACAAATTCTGGATTTATACAATCAAGAACCGAATTATACAAATTCTGATCTTATACAATCAGGAACCGAATAATACAAATTCTGAATTTATAGTATTAGAAAACCAAAGAGAAGAATTTCGCAAAACTGTAGCCACAAATTAGAAATAATCAAAACTATAACTATATTACATAATATACTCTAAATGTTTGTCATTTTACATAATTTTCCCTTTATTTATTTGTCTTTGCAAGTAGTTACGTACTGAAGGCCCAAATTGGTTGTCATATGCATTTTTTTTCTCCATATAATCATCAAATATTCAAAAATTATGGATCAAACTAATACAAATTCACACAATATCAAAGTAAACGCATACACGGTACCAATAGGATAAAAATATCATCGAACGATCAGAAGAAGAGGTCTTGTATCATTCTTAAATGCATACACGGTAATTGTATCTAATTATTTTAATTTTGATAAATTATATTTTGCCGCCACAATTTTGATACATTTTTAAAAATTGTATTTAATGTGTGTATGAAGTTGTATCTGGATTGTATCAATTTTTCTTTTATATAGAATGTATGTTTGAGTAATATTAGATTGTACCATTTTCTTCTATCAATGTATTTAAGTGTATACATTTGTTATTGTATCAATGTATTTGTTTATTGTTATATATTATATCAATGTATTTGAGTATATCAGTTTCTTGTTATATATTGTAACAATGTATTTAAATGAATCTTCTTTTTGTATCAATATACTCAAGTGTATATATTTTTTATATTGTATCAATGTATTTGAGTGTCATACAGTGTATTCATCACCAAAATTTATATATAATATCCATATACATATGTAATTGGAAAATCCCCGGATATTATATTATATTCACTTTAATTTTCATTCTTTTATTCAAACAAAAAAAAATGATGTTCTATTTGTGTTTATATATGCATTTTGTATCTTGTAGATTATTCGTATCATTATTTGTTGTTTTTTTTATGCAGGAATTGATATATATTTTGTGTTAAAAAAAAACACATGCTCCACATATGTGTTGTTACTCAAACAAGAAAATAATACTCCCTGCGTTTCAAAAAGAATGACCTAGTTTGACTTGGAATGGAGTTTAAA